GAGTTAACACATGGATGTGCTGAGATGAGTGCCTGGTCATAGCAAGTGCTCAATAAACGTTTGCTCTCAAAGGGGTCTCCTGGCTGTGATAAGCAAGGAGAGAGTCCCGCAGGGCAGTTCTAGTCCCAGAGAGGATGCGTGCCATGAGCTGTGGACTGAAGTTCTTTGGCACCTCCGGCAGCTCCCTCTGAGGGTGACCATCAGTGTCCAGCCTGAGCTCGGCTCACTCTGAGTCACTGTCCCCTCCCAGGAAGGCCCTGTCTCTAAAAGCTCATGCATGTGTGTCCTCTTGCCTCCCACCTGGGCCTTTGCCCCTGTTGGGGCTCCCCACCTGGAGAACCCTTTCCTTCTCTCTTTTCCTGACCAATTCTCACACATCCTTCGAGACTCTACCCCACTGGGGTTCATCAGCGCCTGCCCTTTCCTCCTCTCTCCCCAGGAAGGGCTCCCTTTGCCATGATATGTTAAAATGACCAGCGTGTGCCATGTGCCTCCATCTCTCTCACAAATATGAGCAAAGGCATTCATTCATTCAACAAACATTTACTGAGTACTCATGGGCCAGGCATGGGTCTAGGCTTGTGACAAATCAGAAAGAATCTTATTCATTTCCAGGTCCCCAGTGCCCAGCACAATGCCAAATATTTATTGTTGTACTGACGATCTACCATGTGCCAGCTGCTCAATGCACAATTACATTAAATCCTCAAAATAATCCTGTAAGTTAGGGCTGGCCCGGTGGCGCACTGCTACAGTGTGCCGCTTGGGAGCGCGGTGGCGCTCCAGCCGAGGGTTTGGATCCCACATGCAGACCGGTTCCTGCTCACTGGCTGAGCGAGGTGCGGGCGCAGCGCCGAGGGTTGCGATCCCGTTGCCGGTCCCGGTCCGGTACAGGTGCGACACTGAGGGTTGCGATCCGTTGCCGGACACGAAAAAAGACAAAAAAAAAAAAAAAATAAATAATAATAATAATAATCCTGTAAGTTAATGGTTTTTTCTATTTTGCATATAAGGAAACTGAAGCTCAGAGGGGTTAAGGAACATGCTTATAAAGTAGTAAAGGCAGGATTTAAGCAAGTCTAGCTCCGAAAAGAGCCAGTGCTTGATCCTCTACCTCCCTATTAAGGTGCGTGTCCCCCTGAGAGGTGCACTTTTAGCAGTCCCAATAGCTGAACTCCCAGTGGCAATATGGGCGGCCAAGCTTACTTGACTCTTAGAGGGTGGGGTGGGAGCATTTTAGAGAAGCGTGGAGGGGAGAGTGGCAGAATTGAGGGAGCCAGGATGGAGTTGGGTGGCCGAACACACCCACTTCTGCATTATTTCTCACACTCCTCTCCCTATCATCAATCAATCTTGCTCTGTATGAAGGAGGGTGAGCAGAAGACCAAGGTAGAGAATGGAGTTTCTTTCCTCCCAGGGATTGCCATCCAGTGGGGGAACTACATAAGGTCTTCAGATCTGGCCAGAGTGGTGTGATTGAATAATAGGACTGGCTTAACAAGGATTCATCAGTGGGTACATGCGGTCTCGGAGGGATGATGCGTGGGCTCTGCCCTCTGCAGATAACGGTTTCTGTCATTGACTTATATGAAGATTGGGGCTTATGTGTATCAAATTTGTAAAATCCAAAAAGCTAAGAGGAACATTCTTGTGATCGGTGCAGGATGAAGGCTCAAAGGATGCTTTGGGCTGCAAGTAACAGAAATTTCTAACTGGTTTAATGAGCAAACGTGGCTCGAGGAACTGGGAACACAGGGGATGGGTTTTGGCTTCAGGATTCTTTGATGAAGCTGCACCACAAAATCGCCAAGGACCAGGTTATTAACATCTCTCTTCCTGCTATGCAGGTGGCTTCTTCCTAAAGCTGGCACACTTCTGTTGTAAGATAACTGCCATCGGCAATCACAGTCATAGTCTTCCCCAGTCCTGCTTGCCCAGGAGGAGGGACAGGCTGGCTTCCAATGGTTCTTTCCTAAGAGCAAGAAAGCTCCAAAAATCCCAGCAAGTCTGTCCTCACATCTCATTGGCCAAAGTGACTTAGCCTGCCCACCCTTGCTCCAGTTATTGCTAGAGGAATGATTGGTTCTGCCAAATGATTGGCTTAGGCCAGTTCTCAAACTTTTTGGCCTTAGGACCCCTTTACACTCTTAAGAGTTATTGAAGACCCCAAAGAGCTTTAATTTTTGTGAGTTATATCTATCAAAACCACATAGTGAGAACAGTTGGCTTAAGTTAATCAGCTGGGAAGAATGGAGCCAGGGGCCTTAACCACAATGTTTATGGCAGGGTTGAAACTGTAAAATTCCAAACCAAGGAGCTAAAATTTAACAAAGATAAATGCAATGTTCTCGACTTAACTCAGAAAATTAATTGTTCAAAAATGGTGGGAAGGAGACCAAGCTTGGCTTCAGATCACATTAAAAAAGAAAATCCCTAAAACTGGAAGGATTTCCAGACCACATAATTCACTGGTCCCTAAATGTTGGTCTACAAAAAGGCACAAACTTTGTTCTTTATTCTGAGATTTGAATCATCCTATTTTTTATTGTGAAAATGTCTTTTCTTTTTATTAATTAATGGTGAAATTATGCATTAGTTGGTTTTCTTTCTTTTCTTTTTTCAACATCCTCACTTGGCACACACCATTATATTACTGACAAACACCAGTCGTGGACTCAGGTTTGAAGAAAGACCACGCGTAGATGCCTCATAGGTAAATAAAATGGGGTTTGCTTACCTAGAGCAGAGGTTGGCAAACTACAGCCCTTGGGCCAAATCTGGCCCAGGGCCTGCTTTTGCAAATAAAGTTTTATTGGAACACAGCCAAGCCCATTTGCACTACAAGGTTACTTTTGCAGAACAAGGGCAAAGTTGAGTAATTGCAAAAGGAACTATAAGGCACCCAAAGCCTAAAATATTTACTCGGTCCCTTTACAGAAAATGTTTGTTGACAGCTGTTCTAGAGGATATAGGAGGAAGGTAGCACAGTCAGGATACACAGCAGAGAAATAGGCAACTTGATCTGGGACAGATAGCAGTGAGGCTTCTGGACCCTTGGGGGTGGTGCACAGTTACAGATGTTAACAGCTGAAGGACAAAGGGTCATATCCGGCCTCCTGGCAGCAGGGCTCTTCCTGGGCAGGAATGGGTCTGCATGAATGCTGGGCTGAAGGTCACCTGGCAGGCAATGACCACAGCCACAGGACTGAACAGAATATTCTGCCTGAACACTCCACACTTGTCACCCTGTGCCCTCTCAGGCTTCTACAGGCTGGACCAGGCATCCACACGAATGAGACTGATGTCCTCAGCTATCAGGCTCATCCTATACATGGCAAGATTATAGGTTGACACTTGCTCCTATTATTATAGGTTGATACACGGCAAGTTGTCACTTGTTTTTGACATTTCACATGTCTTTCACAAAATCTAGGACCTTATTAATCTAAGGCAAACTACTCCCCTTTCAGGCTCTTCCCTCATCTTTGTGAGGTGGTTCCTGGCTTCTGGGAGAGCAGTTATGTCAGTGGGAAAGCTCAATGTCACGTGGCAGCCATCCCTTCAAAGGCCACCTGTCAGTGTCAGTGTGGTCACCCTGAGTCAAAATCTGCTTCCTTCCTGTCCCTTCCTCCCACTGGAGCTTGCACATGAAGGCTTGCCCTGCTCCACATGCCAATCATTCTGATACTTTTCTCCCCAAGTTTGTTTTTTCCCCTCCAGGTATAATGCACCCAGTTTTTTCATGCATTCTTTGGATAACACAATCACCCTACTCCAGAAAAGCTCCAGTTTATTAATGTACCTCTTAAAATAACATGCCAGACCTGAACAAAACACTCCCAACATTCCAACATGGCCAGCTGCTCACAGCATTCCATCAGTGTAACTGAGAATGGGCCTAATTTTTTTAGCAGCGACCTCATACCTCAGACTTTCATCCTGCTGTTTCTGAAGGGTGAGTGGTGGGGTGTGGATGGTGGGATGGGGAAAAATGACCATACACTGAGTGTCTTCTAAGGGCCAGGCATTGTCTAGATACTCTATTTTATTACCATATTGCTCTTCCAACAAGCCTGCAAGGTAGATATTATTGTCCCCATTTTGCAGATGAGGAATCTGAGGCTCAGAGAAGTTAAGTAATTTGTCCAAGGCCACACAGCTGGTGAGTAACAGTCCTGGGTCTGCAACCCTTGTCTCTTGGCTCTGAAGCCTGTGTTCCTTCTCTACAGTACACTGAGTGACAACATGGAGCTTGGGCCATTCTAACTTCAAGGTCATTTTCATATGAACAGCTGTCAGCCAGGTTTACCCTATACCAATTCTGTGCCTTTTTTAAAAAAAAGTAATTACCCTTTTCTTTTGGTTATAAATTAGCACTTACCCACTGTAGAAAAATTAGAAGTATAGAAAAATACAAGAGAAAATAACAACTCTATTCACAAACCTATAATCTAAAGTTAATCAGTATTAATGTCTAATATATCTCTTTATAATCTTGTTCTATGCATGTATGAGATTGAACCACATGGAATGGCTGATATTCAATCACTTTTTGATCTTCAAAAAAGGGGCATATTTTTCATATAATTCAACCTAATACTTTTTTACATATAGCTGAAATCACACTGCACATGTAAGATTTGTGTTCTGACTTTTCACATAACAATACATCATGAGCGTGTCCTGACTTCCTTTAAAACTCTTTTAATAAAAAACATTTTAACAGTGGTATAACATCAAAGTCATTTGGACTTAAAATAATTTAGCTAACTATTCTTCTGTCGGACATTTGGGTTTTATCATCACAAATAGTTCTTTGATAAATATCTTTATATATAAACATGTTTTTATATTTCTGATTATTTCTTAAAAGTAATTCTTGGTGGTAGAAGGAAGTTCAGAAGGAATGCATATTTCAAAGGTTCTTGATACATATTTCCATATTTCTTTCCAGAAAGATTGAACCAATTTTCAACTCAGCTATAACCTCACCTGCATAGAATATTATTATTTTTAAATATTTGCTAATTTTGTTGGTAAAAAATGTTACAGCATTGTTTTAATTTTCATTTCCTTGATTCTTTTTAAGACTATTGTACAATTGATTTTTTGAACCTAATTGCAGGTCTTTAATCTCTACATGTCACAATTTAGTTTTTTGCCCAATATTACATTCCAGTGATATCTTTTTGAATCAAAAATGAGCCAACAGTGTGAAGTGGCTGCTGAGCAAGCAAATGCTTACTTCGCTGCATTAAAAGGAGCACAGTGTATAAATCAGGGGAGGTGATGGTCCCATTTTACTTCTTTGTGGTCAGAGAATACATCTGGAGCTTTTTAGCTATGTGATTCTGGGTGTCTTATTTAAGAAGGACATTAACAAATTGGAGCATATTGATTGAGCTAAATGGTGAAGGATTGTGAAAAGAAATTAAAGACACAGGAAACGTTTAATGCTGAGAAGAAAGCGAGTGACGGATGGAATAATAACTGTGTTAGAAAATAAGAGGCGTCTCCTCCCATCTGTGTAAATTTTTTACTTAAGAAAGCCCTTATGTACAAGACAAATTCAGGTTACTTTAAGGGCTCCAGAAGGCAGAAAAAGGACCAATAGATGCACATAAAAGGTAATCAATTTTAGCTTCACATAAGAAAAACAAATATCTAATATTTTGCACTGTCATACACCAGGCGTGAGCACTGAGTCCCTCAAGGTATTCAGGCAAAGGCTTGAATTCAGAGTGTTAGTGAGAGGCCCTATACTTGGGGGTGAAATTTGTAATGGCATCAGATGATCCCCCAAACTTTTCCAAAGCCAAAATGTAATATTTTTCATGTCCATGGGATATGAACAGTGTAGCAGTCAGGGTTGGCGGTGGTCAAGCTGCCTGAAGCAGGTGCGCTGAGGCAGAGAAGGGCAGGGCCAGCCAGGGGCAGTGGGGCTGACACACCCCTCTCTCCTCAGCACGCGTACCTGCTGAAGCTGAAGGTCATGTACACCGTGGGCTACAGCTCCTCCCTGGTGATGCTCCTGGTGGCCCTCAGCATCCTGTGTGCTTTCAGGTGAGAACATGCTGCCAGCTCTCCATTCCCCCAGCCCTCCCCAGGCATAGCCTTTGGGTTTTTTCTTAATTGCTCAGGACAGAAACAGGAAGGTCTGGGTGAGCTACTTTGTCACCTCTGGATCTAAAGCTTACCTGTGGCAAAACATTGAAGTTCCTGTGATCTGATTTGCTCAACATTTACTAAGCAGTACTGAGAACTCACCGCAGCCAGTGACTTTACATACATTCTCGTTTTCACACATGCTACGAAATAGGTATCATTACCCCCATTTTACAGGTGTACCAGCCAGACTCTTAATTGAAAGACACAAAAATCTATCTCAAAACAGCTTAAAAAAAAAAAGTAAAGGTGACTCGACCCACATAAGTGACAGGTTCAGGAACATCTGCTTTAGGCATGGCTGTATCAAGGTGTTCGGACATACGAACAGAGCGAGGTCTGTCTCGCTTTATTCCTCTGCTCTGCATTGGCCTCGTCCTCTGGCAGGCTTTCTGCAAGGGTGGCAACACCAGGAGCAAAGGAGCCTCTTCTCATTAGTTCCAGTAAAAGTCCCGGGGAGTTCTCATAGGCCCGGCTTAGGTCACGTGCCCAACTTGGAGCCAATCACTGTAGCCAGGAATGGAGCACTCTGATTGGTCAGGTTTGTCACGAGGGTGAGGAGGGTGGAATCACCCCACCCAAATCTGGAATGGGTTCTCCATGAGAAAACCTGCTTCTGGTACCAGAAGACGGGGAGCAAGTAACAGACGTGTGGCCCCTACAGCAGAAGAGGACACTGAAGCTTTGAGAGGTGGACAGGCTTGCTCAAGGTCATTTAGCTACTAAGTAGCAGGGCCTGGGTCTGCTTTCTCCCCACAGTCTGGGTTCATTCTTTGCCACTCTCCCCCTCTCATTCTGGTTGCCCATCCTCCCCCCAAACAATTGTGGGAGCTGCAGATGGTGGTAGGTCAGGGCAGAATACAATGTCCTGGGGGCGGGGCGGGCCTCGCTGAGTCCCAGTCCCTCCCGGCTCAAGCCTCTGTGGCCCTGCATTCTCTCCCTCCAGGAGGCTCCACTGCACCCGCAACTATATCCACATGCACCTGTTCGTGTCGTTCATCCTGCGCGCGCTGTCCAACTTCATCAAGGACGCTGTGCTCTTCTCCTCGGTCGATGTCACCCACTGCGATGCCCACAGGGTAACGTGCCTGATGTCCTGGGGTGTCGCTGGCCTGCCTACCTTCCCCAGTCTAACTTTGGAGGGGGGTTGTTTTGGAGGCCAGCTCTCTGCTGAGGATGCACTGCTCTTCTCCTCGGTCGATGTCACCCACTGCGATGCCCACAGGGTAACGTGCCTGATGTCCCGGGGTGTCGCTGGCCTGCCTACCTTCCCCAGTCTAACTTTGGAGGGGGGTTGTTTTGGAGGCCAGCTCTCTGCTGAGGATGCACTAATGCCAAAGGTAAAGCGACCAGCGCTGGGGCTGGGCCAGGAGGTCCACGGAGATTCCATGGCCGCACATGCGCAGTCTGAGTCTTATCTGAGAGCAGTTTGCTGGCAAGCCGGTGGGACTGCCGCGGAACCCCGAGTGTTTGAGAGTGGATTAGCCACTCTGGGAACTACATGCCTAGCAAGACTCTTCTTTTCCCTACTCTTGCCAGTTCCTGGCTGTACACAGATGACCAAGTGTAGAGAAGGTTGAGGTTGGCTGTAAAAAGAAAAGGGTGAGCATGTGCCGGTATGTATGTATATGTGTGTCCATAGTAAAGCAATCGTGTTTTGTTAAATTTAACCTGCTTTCTCCTTCCAAATGCCCAGATGTCTCTAATTCATCCCAAACACCCTGTGTGTCAGTTGGGAATCTTTTTTGTTGCAAATAACAGAAAACTACACATCAATGGTTTAAGCAGATGGGGGTTATTTCCCATATAAGCATGACACAGATGGGTGATGCAGAGGTGGCACGGTGGTCCCATGATGCCATGAAGGACACAGTCTTTTCTTCTCTTTCTGCTCTGCCATCCTTAGCGTAGGACTTTGATCTCATTCCTTACACCACATGGTTGCAATGTGGTTGCTGCAACCCCAGACCTCACATCCTTGTTTCAGGCTACAAGGAGGAAGGTCAAAAGTTAAACATATTTTCCTTTTGGGAAACTTTGCCTTTCTATTTTGGAAAGGATGCCCTCCCCAAAGACTTCTACCTACATCTTATCAGCTAGAATTGTATCATGTGACCACATCTAACTGCAAAGGAAGCTGGGAGATTGAATTTTTCACTATCACAGTCTTTATAGCAGAGGCAAGCAAGGAAGAGATTGGAAACTGAAATTGGCTCAGCCAACCTGCCTGCCACTTCCCGCTACTCACATCTATATTGTATTGTATAGTTGTGTGTGTGCGTGTATGTGTGTGTGTGGTTTCTGACTCAGACTGAGAGGTCCCTCAAGTAGGATCCATGTCTCTCAAGGAGCTCTCCAGAATGAAACAAGATTACCACACTGGGAGTCAAGAGACCCCATCATTGACCAGCAGTAGACAAGTCCAGCAGAGCCCATCAGGGAAACTTCTAGGGTCCTGCTGAACACCAGACTGGCAAGCCAATCACGGGCCACCCTGGGAGTCAGAGCCTCTGGGAAGGTCCTAGAGTAGGAACCACAGCTGGCTAGCAGGGCAGTACCAGGCACTCCTGTTCCTTAGGCTTGTCTTCACAGCAGTCCATGCAGCAGTCTTAGGGCTGTCCCAGAAGGTGTTCTCTCCCCAGGGGACAACTCAGTGCTAGCAAGGGAGACCCATATAGCACAGGTGCAGGAGCCATGCAGTGTAGATGCCACATGCCCTACAATCCCATAGGCATTGCCTCCAGGGATCCCTGCAGGGGATATGCCTGGTGAAAGCTACACTTCATCAGGGAAGCCCAACACTATGGCATCCCCCTCAGGTATTTGGAGGTCTCCAGTCCAGGTGCAATGTACCAGTCAGGAGCCATTTTTACAGTAAAGAATGTTGCCTCCTAACATAGTTCGCACATCCCTTCATCATCTGTTTCCAGGGAAACTGAGCTTGGAAAGGGTTTTGTTAACTCTTTGCTAAGAAATCTCTAGGATTTAGTTGCCTCATTAGAAAAAATGAGGGGGGTGGGCAATATGTGACACAGATTTACAACTGCAGGGATATCTTCCTCATCTAGCCTGGCAGCCAGTTCCAGAACCTGAACCTAGTTCCTGCTCCTAGGATGGCTCATTGACCATCTTGACTGAACCCACTGGGCCTGTGGACTTCCACTCTCTAGAGAATTCTGTGGGCCTGGTTTTCTGACAGATGAAGGCCACAGGAGATGGCCTTGAACCCCAGAGGCTTGCTCTGTGGCCTGACTCCTGCCCCAAACAACATCCTGTTGCTTCCTGTGGGGCTGGCTGCCAGAGGGAAGCCTGGCTCACCTGCTTCTCTCTGTCCAGGTGGGCTGCAAGCTGGTCATGGTCTTCTTCCAGTACTGCATCATGGCCAACTACTCCTGGTTGCTGGTGGAAGGCCTCTACCTTCACACACTCCTCGTCATCTCCTTCTTCTCAGAAAGGAAGTACCTCCAGGGATTTGTTGCCCTCGGATGGGGTACGTTTCTCCCTGGGTCGAGAACCTGTGTGGTGTGTGGGAAAGGCCACTGAGTTGAGAGTCAGGATTTGGCTTCTAGTTCCAGCTCCACATTTAACTCAGTTGTATAATCTTAGACAAGTTGCTTGATGTTTAACCCTCTGGCCTCAGTTTATTTATCTATCAAGTGGCAAAAAATAGCTAAAATTTAGCCCCAATTTCTGGCATCCAAAGCCTTTTACAAATTGGTACCACCCAACATTTGCTGCCTCATCTTCCTTCGACAGTCCATTCCTGTGCTCTCTCTTGCTTCCTTTTTATATCAGGATGCTTCTGACTGCTGGCATCAGAATATCTGGCTTACATAAGCTTTAAACATGAAGGAAATTAATTGGATCATATAACTAAAAAAATCAAGGGATTACCCACTTCAGGTAGAGGGGTTCAGTGGAGGCTGAATCCAGCAGTTTAACAATGCTTCTTTCTGTCTACTTTGCCTTTTGTCACATCAGCTTTATGATGCTCCCAGTGTAATTGCCAGTAGTTTCTGGACTACAGGCTTCCTTGTTACTGAGCTCCAATGAGAGAGAGAAAGAGACTATGTCCCAACATTCTCAGCAAATATTCTGAGGTTCACGCTGATTGTACCGCTTAAATCTCATACACATTTTTGAACCAATCACAGAGACCTGAGGGAAAGGAATATGCAGACTGGCTTAAGCTACTCAAGCCACATAGACTCCCAAAGGAAATTAAGGATTCAGAATCTAGGAAAGAGGGGATAGCAAGACAGATAACTGCAGGCCCCCTTACCTCTCTTCTCACATTCCTTTCTGATCAATGAAGACGATAACAACTCCCATTTCTTGAGTACTTTCTATGTGCCAGGCATTTGGTTCAGCACTTTACATGTATCCTTTAATCATCACAACAACCTCCAGAGGCCTCTCAGAGACCTTGGCTCAGAGACTTGACATAACATGCTCAACTCACACTGTAGAAAAGGGAAGACCCAGGATTTAAATGAAGGCCCATTTCCAAAGCCCTTTAACTCTTCTCCTGCCATTAGCAAACATCCATTTATCTCCCCTACCCACCCACCCATCCCTCATCCATCCATCCATCCATCTGTCCATCAGTTGTTCATTTGATAAACATATGTGAGTTATCCATGGGTTTTTAGACAGAGAACCAGTTTCCTGAGAGTGACTCACAAACTTACAGAGATAGTCATGTGTACCAGCCACCATTAGCTTTATTTGGTTTCTTCCTAGTGCCTTTAATTAAGAAGTGTCCCTGCCAGGATGTCCTCCACTGCCTTTTCTGCTTGTCTAAATCCTTATGTGCAGAGGCCCTGTCTCCCCATCAGACCATCAGGGAAGCTGCCGGAGCTGGCAGAGCTTGCTGACCCCTGCTTCTGAACCCTGGCAGCCTGATTAGCACATGACCCTCAGACAGCAGGAACACACAGAGCCATGTAGATGTCTGCATAGGCCAGCAGTCCCACAGAACCCAGGACCAGGGACTTGCCTTATGCAGCTGACGCTGTCAACACAGCAGAGCTTTGAACCCCAGATCTGCCAGGATTTACCTGTATGAACACGGACAGCTTCCTCCTCTGTCACATCAGGATCGTCATTTACTCAACATTCTTTGAGCACTTCTTTGTGTTCAGTAAAAAAAAATAGAGAGATTACCAAAAAATATAGAGATTACAAAAAAAATTACCAGTTCCATCACAAAACTGCATTGTGATTGATAATCTGTCTGTCACAGGTTAAGCGATTTAAATGTAATAATGAGAACCTTCCTTTTTTCTTCAAATATTTATTGAGCATGTAATATATGCCAGGCCCTGTACTGGGTGCTGGGGATTGAGTAGCACATAAAATAGCAGTGGTTCCTTCCCTCCTGGTTTGTTTGCCTGGGAGACAACAAAGACACCATGAAGGGCCCCTAGAAGGCCTAGAGCCCCTCCATTTGTGAGTAGCCTTTCTCATGAAAAGGCAATAGCCCCTGACTAAATTGATACTGGCTTCCCCAGAGACAGGTTGCTTAAAAGAGTACGTGCCCAGTGGAAAACTTTGCAAAACAATATTACTTTTTAAAAAGGAAAAAAAAAAGTACCCATACATTGAACATTTTCTGGGATTCCCTTCCATACTTTTTTTTCTACTTGCAATTTCTCTCCACATAATTGTGGTCATTCTGTATGTAGAATTTTGAATCTTGCTTCTTTCTGTTAACATATAAGCATGGTCTGTATTATTTCAAATCTTCTGCAAACATTTTTAATCATCACATGAACATATTTAAACAAATACCTGTGGGCCTTTAGGGTGTTTGCAATTTTTCACTGTAAATAGAACAGTGATGAATACTTTTATTGGCAAAGCCCTCTGCAAGTAATACAGAATCCCAGAACTTGGATTACTGAGTCAAAAGGAGTGAACACTTTCAAAGTTTTTAGTACTTATCCAAAGCTTTTACTTTTTCAGAGTAGCAGAGGTGTCAGTCTGTGCCAGAAAAGTGATATCTCTAGCTTATAGGAAGTGAACCAAGCTCCTCCTCAGTGAGTGAACTTGAATGAGTGATTCTGATGATTCCCATTAGAATCATCTGGAGGTCATGTCCAACCCAGCTTGCTGGGCCTTGTGCCTAGAGTCTCTGAGTCAGTGGATGGGAGATGGAACCTGAGACTCTGAGTTTCCAACAAGTTCCCAGGTGATGCTGATACTACTGGTCCAGGGACCACTCCGAGAAACACTGACTTAAACCATTATCAGTTCTTCAAACTTTCCTACCAAATTGCCATTAAGGATGGAAGACGATGAGCAGGTTCCCCTCAAAATCCATGTTCTTTGTCCAAAGCACCCAGAATTGAAGCAGGAAATTTTTTTTAGTTGTTATTTTAATTTTATTTTTATTTTTTTGTCTTTAAAGAATAGAATAGGCTGTAAGGTTAATAATGAACAAAAGCAGTCTCCTGCCCCTGTTTCCTGTTCTGAGTTCTGCTCTCCAGAAGTAATGCCCTTTGAAGATTTTAGCTGTTCCTCCTGGTATTTACTCTCGTGTTTCTAAATAATATACAACTTTTACTTGATTTGTTCATTTGAAGCATTATTTGTTGACTCCTTAAGATGGAAGATAATGATATAAAATTCTTCATTCACTACTTCCAATCTTCCACTACAGTTTCTTACAATTTTTGGTTAAATCATATTCAATGTATATAATATTATATCTATGTAAATATTGTTACTACTGAGCAGAGTGGTATAAGATGATTTTACTTCCAATGTTATTCAGCTTTTTGTTTTTCCTGGAATTGTTTATCATTTGCTTTTTTTTAATAGTGCTGTCATTAATTCTCCCAAATTCTTAGGAACGCCCTCCAATGCTATTTTCTTTCTTTCTTTCTTTTTTTTTTTTTTTTAAAGATGACTGGTAAGGGGATCTTAACCCTTGACTTGGTGTTGTCAGCACCACACTCTCCCAAGTGAGCCACTGGCCGGCCCCCAATGCTATTTTCTGAATCATCAATTACAAAAGGAAATCTATCAGTTCCTATTTGTTTATTTTCTGCTGTATTAGTTTCCTAAGCTGCTTAACAAATTCCCACAGACTTGGTGGCTTAAAACAACAGAAATTTATTGTATCACAGTTCTGGAGGCCAGAATTATGAAATGAAGGGGTTGGCAGGGGTGGTTCCTTCAGGAGGCCCTGAAAGAGAATCTGTTCCATGCCTTTCTCCTAGCTTCTTATTGTTACTAGCAATCCTTGGCATTTCTGAGATTGTAGCTACATCACTCCCATTTCTGCCTGTCTTTATGTGAATGTCTTCTGTGTCTCTTCTTTGTGTGTCTCTCATGGCCTTCTTATAAATTTGCCAGTTGTGCTGGAATAGGGGCACCCTAATCCAGTTGAAATTAACCTTAACTGATTACATCTAAGAAGACTCTTTCCAAATAAGTCCACATCCTGTGATTCTGGATAGACATGAATTTTGGGGGGACACTATTCAACCTGGTATAGCTGCCAATGTTCTTTTGAGAGCTTTCTTTTGCTTTCCTACTTGATATGGGCTGGCTGTTCTCTAGACTTGCTTGGATCCCTTAACCTTCGTGCTGAGAATTCCCTTCGCATTCTTCTACAAATCATGCTCCCTTTATTTCTGTCTCCTTCTCTTCGGTTTACTCTGTAGTTGTGTTGGAGCACATCCTTCAGCACCTGTCTAGCAAAGAGTACCTGGAAGAGCATATTTTGCATCACATATATGAAAATATCTTTGTTCACTTTTCACACCTAGTATGTCATTTTGCAGGGCATAGAACAGGTTGAAAAATCACTTCCCCCCAGAATTTTGAAGGCCTCGTGTTTTGGCATCTGGTGTAATGGGAAGTGCCAAGCCGTTTTTCTTCCTGAGCCTTTTCACTCATCTCTCTGTGTATAAGCTCCAGGGTCTTCTCTCTGTGTTTTGACATGTCACAGGGGTGCTCCAATGCAGGTCTTTTTTCATCCATTTTGCTGGCATATGATGGCCCTTTCATCTGGAAACTCGTGTCTTTCATTTCTTGAAAATGTTCTTATATTTTCTATTTGATCATTTCTTCCTCTTGGTTTTTATCCCCTCTTTTCTGAAACTCCTCTAATTAGATGATGCATACCTTGGAATCAACCTCTAATTTTCTAATTTCTTTTCTCCTACTTTTCATTCCACTGTCTTTTGTTCTGCTTTCTGGGAGATTCCTAGTCTTTATCTTCCAACCCATCTATTGCATTATTTATTTATTATACATTCAATTCCTAAAATCTCTTTCTTGTTCTCTGAATGTTCCCTGTTTACAGCATCCTGTTTGTGCCTTGTAGATGCAATCTTTTTTCTTCTCTCTCTGATGATATCCCTTAGAGCTGTTTTGTTCAAATTCCTTCTGCTCTCTGTATGGTCTGTTTCCTCTGAGTTCCTTTTCTCTGATTCTTTTGATCTTTGTCTTTTATGTAATCAGATGTTGGTGACCTTGGCTGTTTGTTCATATTTAAGAATGAGTCACTTCAGAGCTGACCGAAGGCTCTATGGGGTGGGGGTTAGGGTGGTGGTGGTGGAGGAGCAGGGCTCATCTCTCTGGGGAGACTGTGCTGGAAGTGGTCACTGTGTTGGGGGGTCCCAAGCATTGCTATCTACAGGCCCTTTGTTTGGGGCAGTTCCACTTCTCCAGAGAATAATCCTTTAATGTCCTGCCTGGGGTGGAGGGGTGGGGGTAGAGGGCTAGAGCTGGGGTAGAAACTTGGTTGCTAGAGGTCTGAAAACTGAATAGCCCTGGTGCTGGGGATCTTACCATCCAGGGTATAGATGAGCATGCCCATTAGAAATAGAATCTGAGCCACATATATAACTTAAAAATGTCTAGTAGCCACAGTAAACACAGTGTATTTGTCTGTTTCTGTTGCTTATAACAGAAATACCTGGAACTGGACTATTTATAAGAAAACAAAATTTATTGCTTACAGTTTCAGAGCTGGAAAGTCCAAAGTCCAGGGAACAAATCTGTAGAGGGTCTTCTTTGGTGGTGGCTTTACAGCAATGCAGGGGTCTCACATGGCAGAAAATGGCAGAGCAGAGAAAGAGGGAGAGACTCTCACTTGCTCTCTTTTTATAGCCCCCAGAACCATGCCACTGACCACCATTATTAATCCATTCACTAAGACATTGTCCTACAATCTGCAATGCAGGGGTCTCACATGGCAGAAAATGGCAGAGCAGAGAAAGAGGGAGAGACTCTCACGTGCTCTCTTTTTATAGCCCCCAGAACCATGCCACTGACCACCATTATTAATCCATTCACTAAGACATTGTCCTACAATCTAATCACCTCTTCGAGGCCCCACCTTTCAACTACCATAACAGGATTTCCCACCCTCTGGAGTTACAGTGGGAATGAAGCTGCTTATATATGAACTTTGGGGCAACACACAGTAAAAACAAGTGAAATTAATTTCAATAATATATAGGTATTCTATTTAACTGAGTATAACATAAATAGTATTGCAATGTGTAATTAATATAAACATTGTTAATGACATATTTTACATTCTTTTATTTGTACTAAGTCTTCAAAAGCTAGTATATATCTTGCACTTCCAGCACATCTCAGTTGGGACCAGCCATGTATCGGGTGCACAGTAGCCACATGTGGCCAGTGGCTATTGTCCTGGACAGCACAGGTGGAAACCATCACTTCATTCCTGTGCTCAGCCAAGTCCCCCTTCACCCTCTTATGGGCTGGAGCCCTAGTTTTCCCTGGCTTGGTTTCTCCACAGAAGAAACTCTGGTGGGGATACATAGCTAACTATTTGGTCTTGGGAGGGTAGTGTTGGCCATTGGCGTGGTCATCTATTTCTTATCCAGACTTCCAAACAATCCTGCTGTTCCATCCCCATCCTGTTTCCTGCCTCTAGGGTACCTGATGTCCCTGGGCCCTGTGCACCATCGGATACTTTGCCAGCAGCATGGCCCCTTGCAGCACTTAGATTTCAGCCTTCTCCGCTCTGGGACATCAGTTGCCACTCCTCTGCCAGATGTCCATATTCCTAAATGTGTTGACATCTCTCATTCACTCTATCCTTCCTTCCTGGTCTTTGTGTTCATGGGCTTGTACTATTTTATTTCTTTACTATCATTGTGGAAGGGTTTCAGGGGAAAATACAGATAAAGACATAAATTCAATTTACCATGTTTAAACAGAAGTCAGGAAATGTTCTTGTGTTTTATCTTCTAAATTCCTGTGCACTTTCTCTTCTCTAATACAAAGTGTGTTTTTGTTTAAATATGACAATGATGGCTTACATTACCAGTTAAATGGCCAGGCTTTTTACAAAACAATATTTGAATAAAATCAATGCTTCTCCCACGATCTATGTCTACCACCTCCCCACCCCTCTTCCCCCTCAATTCCCCACACACTGCCAGGCATATCCTAGTTCGAGAAGAGGGCTTCACAAGCCTTCCCAGGGGTCTCAGACCCCTCTCTCCTCTGCAGAGGTCCTCTGGAGTCTGGCTCAAGCTTCCAGGAGACCCCTAACCCCAAGTAGCCTTTGGTATCCATCTGACCCTTCCTCAGTTCCCAGTGACCCATTGAAGCATATCACTGCACATTTATACATAGGATGGCAAATGGGTTTCCATGGAAACCAAATCTTGGTACCTGCTCAGTACCTGGGTGGGAGTAACTAATTGGCCTGTTCTTCACACACATGTTGAAAATTGAGTTCTCTCTCTCCCGCCCCTCCTTTATTCTTAATCCTCAGGTTCTCCAGCCGTTTTTGTTGCTTCGTGGGCTATCACCAGGCACTTTCTGGAAGACATTGGGTAAGCTGTTGAAAGGAGAGGTAACAAGAGTGTGTTTGACATTGTCTAGTTCTTCGGACAGCACAGATACTTCTTTGGAGCTATGTAGGAAAAGTCTGTTTCTCAAATTAAGGGCCACAGGAGTGTTCTCTAGATTAACACCCATTGCTCCCTGGGTATGAGTTTCTAGGTGGACCAAGCAGCCTTGGCCACACCTGCACCTTACTGGGCTTCCCTGTCCCCTGTCAGCACTGGGATTAGGTCAGGTGCTGAACAGGAGCTGCAGAACTCCAGGCAGGTATTGTTCAGTGGAGGAAGCGCATGTAAGGGCAGGCACAGACCTCCATCCTGCACACCTCACACTCCTGGATGTTTAAGAGCCTGCACAGCCACACACAGCTAAGCAGCAGCAGCTGTCCAACAACTCCTGGGTGTGGCAGTGATGGGAACAAACCAGAGATCTAGCCTTGTTCTCTAAGGAAGTGAGGCACTGAGGGTGGAGGTCAGTGCGGAGGACCCACCTGAGAGTAGGCATGGTGGAAGCAAAATTGAAGGAAGTCAGGGAAGAAGAGGCAGCAGGACACAGCGGTGTCAGTTGCACAACCAAGCCTATAAATGGACTAGGTTGGATGAGACTTACAAGTGTCTTATAGACCAATTTCAGCCCCAAATAATTGTTTCAACATCATTTTTTTTAAAACTGGGTGAATTCACTTAAAAAACATAAATCAGGATTTTTGGCTTCTCTAGAAAAAATGCAAAATGATATTAACATTTCCCATTTTTCCCTTATGACAAAAATCAGCTGGAGCAGAGAGCTGTGGCTGGCTTGGGCCAGGCTCATGCTCTCCTGTTAGCCAAGAGCCCCCCACACCTGATGTCCAGGATCATGGGGTCACATGACAGTCACCCAGCCACTCCACTCACTGATGCCATCTGCCTAGCCACTGTTGGCAACTGAGGTTGCCACCATGCTCCCCAGTGAATTCTGGCAATGAGCTAGCTTTGGGATATTGGGGTCTCCAGGGTCTCCAGGCTCTCCGGCTTCCACAGGTGCATGGAAACAGATGGCTGCTTCCTCAGCCCCAGCAGTGCAGCCCCAAGAGAGTGGCAGGTTCTAAGAGCACAGGCACACAGCTGTGGGGTCCCAGGCCACAAACGTGGCTCCTTCATACTAAGTGCCTCCTCAGGGAATGTGTCTTTGCTGGTCAGCTCAGCTCCCCACTCCTAAACATGCCTGGCTGTCCCTCCCCTAGGTGCTGGGATATCAACACCAATGCAACCATCTGGTGGGTCATTCGAGGGCCTGTGATCCTCTCCATCCTGGTGAGTAGCCGTCCTCCCCTGAGCTGGGGGCCAGTGGGAGAGACAGAAACAGTGACCAGCTTGCAGAGGCAGAGAGCTGGGAAGCAGGGCTCCCTCCAGGTGCCAGGAGGGATAAGCCACAGTGCTTCCTCAGTCCCCTAAAACATGGTGGGTGGGAGTGGGGTGAGGGGCGGGCAGGAGGCAAGAGCTTGCGGACCTCACTCTTTTCCAGGAGCAGCAGTGAAGTGTGGTGAGCAGAGCTCCTTGCCGTAAACTGACTGGCTCCCACTGACCTGAAATTCCACCTTCACTTGTTCAGACCTGGGGGTCTTGATCATTTTTCTAGGCATTTGAGTCTCTGAGCTGGGGTCACAGGAGGAGGCGGGAGGTGGCTGGGGAAAGCTGAGTGAGGCAGTGGTCTTAGGACTGTGCAGTGCTACCAGTGGGGTGGCCCCAGGGAGGAGATGCAGGAGTGACCCACATGGGTGGGGAGCTCGACAGGTCTCAACCTTAGCTGTCCTTTAGAACCACCTGGGAGCTTTTAAAAAATATTGTAATGGGCTGTCCAGTTTGCTTAGTTGGTTAGAGTGTGGTGCTGATAACACCAAGGTCCAAGGTTCAATCCCTGTACTGGCCAGCCACCCAAAATATACAGATAACCAGAGATTGGGGCTCTTGTTCTGGAGAGGGTCTTGGGTGCTGGCCTTATTTTTAAGTCTGCAGGTGATTCTGCTCACAGCTGGGGTTGACCCTGTATCTGAGCTCAGGGGTATGGATAAGAATAGAAGGACAGAAAAGGGAAGACACATGGGGACACCCGGGGTCTTGTCATGGATGGAATCCGCCCCTCAATTGGAACTATCATTTACACTACTCAGAGGGATGCCCAGGGCTGCAGAAGCAGTTGACAGAAAGTGCCCTTCACTGGTTTGCTGGGGTCGGGGGAAAGGCCCCAGGACTGGGCACAGCCTGGTGCTGTGAAATGGTGCTGGAGCAGGTGGGTGAGAGGGGAGGAGAGGTGCTGCCGGGCAAGCGATGTTATAACGTTCCCAGCCCTTGGCTGGGCACTGGGGTTGGGGGAGGAGATATCAAAAGAAATATAGACTCCATTCTGGTCTTTCAGGAAGATATGATTGAATTAGCAGATAAAGGGCTGGCCAGTTAGCTCAGTTGGTTAGAGCGTGGTATTATAACACCAAGGTCAAGGGTTTGGAATCCTCGTACCAGCTAGCCGCCAAAAAAACAAAACAAAACAAAACAAAAAAAACCAAAGCAATGAATTGGCAGATAAATGCACACACATTTGACAGATGCATGCATTTGGTTCCTTTAAGATGTTTTAAGTGACTTTATATGGTAACATCATCCTAAAATACAATGACTCAGGAAAGGGAGGTAATCAAGGTGGCTTCCTGGAACTGTTGATTGAGCTGCGTACTGATTTCACAAGCGGCAGTTGAAGCAGCGGTTCTCAAAGTGTGGTCCCCAGACCAGCAGCTCAGTGTCACCTAGGAGCTTGTAAAAAATGCAAATTCTTGGGCCCTTTACCAGATTTACTGAACTATAACCTGTGAGGGGTGGAACCCAGTGATCTGTACCCTAAACTTTGAGTACCACAAGTGTAAAGTCAATCAGCTTTGGCATTACCTGGGAGCTTGTTAGAAATGCAGAATCTCAGCTACTCCCCACACTAACCCCCCAGACCTGCAATTTAACAAGATCCCCAGGGGATTCCAGTGCTCAGCAAGTCAGCAGACCTTGGACCTCCTGCAGCCCTGCTGCATGGGTGGGGGTGTGGGGGGGTGCTGCCTCCAGACAGATTGTTTCACCAGGACTCTGGGGGGCGGGGAACAGCAGTGATGTGCCATCCTAGCTGTGGTGTCTGCAATGCCTTCTCTGCCCTCAGGTCCAGGGGACAGGGCCAGCAGAGGTGGCTGGGAAAGCAAGACGCCTTTAAGCTCTGCTTTGTTTTGCAGATTAATTTCATCCTTTTTATAAACATTCTAAGAATGCTGATGAGAAAACTTAGAAGCCAAGAAACAAGAGGAAATGAAGTGAACCATTACAAGTAAGTGGAGGGCAAAGTCATAGATATGCTCAGTCGGTCAATCCGCAAGCATTTACTGAGCACTTACTGTTTACCCAAGTGGTGCTAGCTATTGGAGATGGAGGAAAAGGAAAAGTCCTGGACCTAGTCCCAGGAAGTTTACAATGCAAATGGGAGCGGGGGGGGGGAGGGGGGGGGATGGGTCTGATTGTGAAGCCTCAGACACTGTGTGAGGATGGGGAAATTAGGAAATCTCAGGTGGGAAGACTGAATGCAGATATCTTGCCCTTAGAGCGAAGCTAGGTAGAGAGTCTTAGCTTGGGTTTCAGGGACCCAAATTTAGACAATCTGTGTAGGTATGTGTATTTTTTATGGTAGAATGACCATAGCTTTCATCAGATTTTTTAAGGAGACATGTGATCCCCAAATACTTACAACCTCTAATATGTTGAAGAGATATGTTAGTTTCCTAGGGCTGCTGTAACAAAATAACACAGACTGGGTGTCTTAAACAACAGAATGTATTTTCCCATAGTTCTGGAGACTGGAAGTCCAAGATCAATGTCGAGAGGTTTGCTTTCTTCTGAGACTTCTCTTTGGCCTTGCAGATGATTGCCTTCTCGCTGTGTTCTCACATGGTGTCTCCTGTGTGGATGGACATCCCTGGTATCTCTCTGTGTGTCTGAATTTTCCCCTCTTATAAGGACACCAGTTGATTGTAGTAGAGTCCATCCTAAAGGCCTCATTTTAACTTGGTCACCTCTTTAAAGACCCTGCCTCCAAATACAGTCACATTCTGAGCTCCAATACATGAATTTTGTGGGGACACAACTGTGGCCATAACAGATGTTAAAGACAAATTAGTGTCCAACAGAGGCTTTCTCCATGGTGTTATGAGTATTAAGAATCTGGCACTGGCCTGGATTACTTGGTGTCAGGTTCCCTGTGACATCTCTGGAGTAGTAGGCTCTAAAGCTGAGTGGAGCTAGGGATCTGGGATAAAGTTGCCAGATAAAATACCAGATGCCCAGTTACATTTGAATTTTGGGTAAACATCAAATAGTTTTTAAGTTCTTATACCCAAAAAAAGTATCCATTGTTTATCTGAAATTCAAACTTAACTGGGCATTTTGTATTTTTATTTTCTAAATTTGGTAACCCTGATCTAGGAAGAAATACAAGAACTTCCTCCTGATACATATTTATCATCTAACAAATGAGGAAATTGGCTTTAGTTATAATATGTTAGAGACAGAGTGGCAGTAATACAGGCACAAAATTTATAAAAATAAATAAAGTTATTTGGTTGGGTACTTTTTATTTTTTCTGATAGAGGTGTGTATCAGAAAGTTTGGGGTTTGGCTATGAGTTGATAAGTGTTGTATGTGGGTGATGAGTATTGTGACTTAGAAATTTCGAACACGTCCCCTCTCCTTCTTCCTCCTCCCACCCTATTTACCTCCCCCTTCCCCTCTCATCCCCAACTGCTTCGCAACAACATCTTAGAATGCAAAAAAAAAAAAAAAAAAAAATTAATAAAAAAACTAAAAAAAAAAGGGAAAAAAAAAAAG